AAGGAAATTAATTCCGCTCCCTCGCTGCACAGCCAAGCAACATTAAAAACAGGAATAAGAAACAACAGCAACCAAACCACACACACCACACTCGTACTTGTTGTATTGAAAACCAAACATCCAATAACCAGACTGAATTGGGAATGTAGTGGAGCTTGCTTATCTGATATGTGGTGTGTGGGAGACTGCGTGGGTTTTTTTTATGTGCCTGTATGTGCAAGACTGAATGAGATTTGATTGAGTGGGCGTATCAGTGTGTGTAGTATGTGAAGGTATTGCTTCGTTATGTATGCAAGAGCCACTATCAAACAGAAACATGACGAAAAATGGTTTGCATATGCATCAGTGTGTCCATAATTACAAAGTAGATTTCTTGGCTACTATCATGGATTGTTGACCATCTCTAAGCAAGCACTGGAGGGTGTTCAAATGAGGATTATCTCCCCCAGCACAGCACAGCACAGTTTAGCACTGTATGTCATTGATTAAGCCCGCGTATGTTACTTGCCAACACGCATCCCACTTGCATAGTGTTTTCGTCTATCTCGTAACAAGTGTTTAAAAGAACCATCATGTAGGAAAAACAAACATACAATATCTGAATATTTAAAGAAATACTGTATGACTTATTCTAAATAAAATGTATATAAATACTTTATTATTTCTATTATATATAATGTTAAGTATTGTCATAAATGTTATAAACATCAATGTATTAGTCAGTTAGAGTGAGGTGTAAGTACTGTCACAACAAGATTCAGCAGTTAAAATACGTCAGTATGGCACATGTGACCTACAATCTAATATATATCCAGGGTTTTTGTGTACTCTAATAATTCCCAGAGTAGAAAGGCCAGGGGTAATATGACCTTAAAAGCACTGAATGAAGAAGGACTAAACAAGAAGTAGAAGTTGTGTCTGAGATATGTTTGTATTTAATAAAGAAAAAAGCACTCCTAGTTCAACATACTTTGTCTAAAGGTATTTTATTTCTAACCCCTGTTCCAAGAGAGAGTATAAATACACCAATGATGTCGTGAAATTTCTATTCACGTACACAGTCTCTCTGGGTACACTCAGTTTCACAAGTAATATCAAAAGCAGTCTGATTTATTCCAAGTGTAACCAATTAAGAATAACCTGTTATTTTTTCTACACTAGACCTTGGTACACCCCACGGACAATGAGTAAGAGGTTACACTGAAGCTGTGTCATCACAGATAAATGGAAGAATTGTTAAGAAAAAATAGTACTGGGTGCTCACTTAAACAGAATATGGTAGACAGAGAGCACATTTTGACATATTTCAAAGCAAAGATTTAATAGTGAATATAACTAAAATCTGACATTTACAGACAAATATGACATAATGGCAAAGCTTTGCTTATGTTTCCTCATGGTAGCATTGATTTTCATGTTTATTCTGGCCTCTTCTTTCTACTCTGGAGAGATGAATGTGACAGGTGAATGAAAAAAATAGAATAAAAAACAAGGGTAAAGTGAGCAGTAAATGCACCACTTCTATATTTATTCATCTCTTCATTTGTGTTGTAGAATGTACACGGTAATAATAAAGGACCTTTTTTATTGCAGACATTTTGACATGTCTTGGCAGGGAAGGCACAGGTGTTATTAATAGCATTAATTACGCCTGTGATTTTCCTGCTATGGCCAGTCATAATGTTTGCAATGAAGAGGACTTCACTATATACATACATACATACATACATACATATATATATGTATATACAGTATATATGTATTTGGGTGGATTATTATCATCTAAAGTTCAACTAATGAACTGTTCATCTTCATCTTTACATTACAAAGAGTTCTATTTAATTTTAGTACAGTTTCCTATAATAAACAATTTTCCTGTTTCTGAAAATTCTTCAGTAACCAGATACATATTTCCTTTAAAACTGTCAACATTTTTTTTGAGTTTTGTTTTTTACTGCACTCAGTATTACTTTCAAGGCTTTGTTTTCTATTTCTTTATGACTTTCATCTTACACAAGCCTTTCAACTGTTTCACCAGTAAACAATAAACTATTGTTACTTGTTTTTTTCACTCATACAGTACAGCTACCTATAAACCTGATCAGACAGTCTTAAAGTTGGTGGGCTTCTATACATCCCTGTGTACACATATTCTCCTCCAATGCTGTGAAGTACTTCCACTGAAAAATAATATATCTGATCTGATTGGCTGGAAATAACAGTTTCCAGCAGCTGCCTCAAAGAAACACTTGCACAAACTTGTTTCTGACTCAGACCCTGAGAAGAAAACTGAGACGTGCGTTGGGAGAATTGTACTATATGCACAGACCTCATGCACACTGTAAGCATTTACAGGCAGGTGCACAAGGTTGTGTATGAATCCCATTTGGTTGAATCATCACTACAATATAACATGTTTAAAACACGTGTATTAATATCATGAAAGTTCAAAAAACAGTTTCAAATACTGCATTTAGCATAATAACAAGAACAGGGCGTTCTGTTTTCCTAGTGGCCTCTAAGCACCACCACCCCGCCCTTCCCATTAGCTGTGGTACTTTCTCATATTTGTCTTTTGTCCTCATTTTTGATAATTACTAAATAGCTGATTATTATTATTGCATCTGACCATTATTTTTGTATGGGGTAACAAACAGGGCTGTAGTCATGGCAAATGTCTGACTGACGTCTGGTTTGTGGAAAGAGAGATACATTACAATTTCCTGCAATATAGAACAGTAGCTTGACAAATGCAGAGATGAATATGGCACATCTGGATGATTATACTGTACTTCTGTGCATAAAAGTGTAGTGCAACTGAATATACATGCAGGAGAACAAGTGCAAATACTGTAAATAGAAAGCAAGTGTATCTAATGTAGAAGTTAAATAATGAGGTCAAATGGAGGACACAACCCCAGGTGATGTTTGAACAAAAAAACAGCAGGAAGCAATTGGAAAACAACCTAGCCAAATGACAAAAAAACAGATTATTCAAAGAAATTATAATGGCAACAGGGATATGTGCATGCAGACTTTTAAGATAAATAAATGGGAAGAAAAAAGGTAGCGTGGTGTGTCACACCTTTCAGTTTTCAAAAAACAAAGATTCAGCTAAACAACTTGCTTCTGTCTGTTTTTTTTCTGCAATAACACTATCTAACTCTACAATGCTGCAGATCCAACTCTGGTTTGTTTCCCAAATTTTACACATTTTACAATTGTATTTATTTATTCATTCATTTATTTGCACTTGCTTACTTTGAAATTCCTGCCATCCTGCACATTTCTTTATGTACACTAAACCTTGACATAAAGAAATACAAGGATAAAGGTATGGATGTCTAGACACTGAGAAAAACATGCAAGCATTCGCAAGTTTGCCTGGGGTGGCACAAACAGAAGCCATGTGCATGCAAGTTGAAAGTGTTTCAACATAAGAAAAAAATGCCCTTATTCCGGGACTTTATGACTCTAATTCATCGTGTACGGAAACTGTAGAAAAAAGGGAAAAGATTGGAGGGAAAACAGTAAATTGTTAGATGCTCCCAGCTAACATCTAGTTGGTAAAGCCTACATTAGATATCTTAGGTAATGGACTGAAAAAAAACATTCCAGTGGTCACACCTGAGTACAAATGAAAATTCACAGAAGAAAAGGCAAAAACAAACACTATTAAGTTTAAAACAGGTGCATTGAAATTGAAAGCTCCTCGTTAACATTAACATTGGTGATGTAAGTGAAAATGTGATGAAATGTAAAGTTATACTTGGCTCAAAATGCTCAACTGTTTGACAGAACATCAGAGTATCCACTTTTTCAAAGTTAGCCTGACTTTGTTCCCCTATTACTGTAACTAGCATACATTCAGGTCACATGTGTAACCACTGGTTTCTTTAAAAGATAATTAAACGGTGATGTTTGAAAATTCAGATGTTCACTTAAAATACTTGATCTCTTCTGGTAGCCTATCTCTAGAATCGCCAAAGACTCTTCTAACCCTTAGGGTGAGAAAATCTTCTGTCCACTGAATGATAAATATAAAAAAAAATTTTAACTGGTTTTCCAAATTGTGCTTCTGTTTGCAAATCAAAAGACAAATGACAAAATACAGCAAGGACTGATGTGGCATATGTTAGAATAATAAAATGTACATATGCAGAACAGCCTGCTGTAATTGTAATCAATTATCATATGCCAACATGTCACATGGACTTAAATGCAGTGTTTTCATGGGAGTGGCTTAGTGTGTTTGGGGAGTGGCTGGCTTGTTCACACATTTTGCCTTGTTCATCACTACGACAGGCAGAGCCAAAGGCAGAACCGGGACACTCAGTGTACTACATCATATTCACTAATTGCACCATCTGTGGAGTGTTGTTTTGCTTGTTTTACAAACCCTCCAAACGCTGCATTTAGCAGATGGGCTCGTGCGGCCAGCTAGCTACTTAGTTTTAAACTGGTTCACCAACTTGTTTTCTAAGTTGGAGAAATGAACTTCTGAGAGACACGGCGAAGGACAAGTACACATATTCTGTGTACGCGTACTGTTGTGACGGGCGGACTTACTTGGTGGTTATCAAGTTCAGTTTTCATTTTTCTTTTTCCTGCATCCGAAGCGCGAGGAAAAAGGAGGTGGACCCACGCGCAGTCGCCGGTCTCGTGGCTTCTTTGTATACAGCAGCAGCTGTGTGTAAATGCATGGGCACACAGCGTCTACTGCTCCTTGAGCGACAGCTTATTGGGCTCAGTCCAACCTTCATGTTTCTTCCTCAGAAATGAAGCGGCTGAACCAGGCGTAGAAGAGGAATATCAAAACTTTGCCCGAAGCCTTTCTCCCTACAGCAGTATCTCATTTACCCCAACAAAGCTGGGGTCAGTTTCGCTGCCTCTCTTTCTCCGTCTCCCTTGTCTCTGTGCGCTTGGATTGTAAACGGCAGAAACAAATTGAGCTCCGTGCAGAGTAGGCTACAGCTACAGCTGCGCGGCTCCCTCACATCATGGATGTAAGATTTTATCCGACTGCTGGTGGAAATTCTATTCCAGGAGATCCACAGAACCTGGATTTTGCCCACTGTTTGGGCTACTACAACTTCAATAAGGTGAGAAACCCATCTGTTTTGTGCTTTAGCCTAGTTTTGTGTTGTGTGTCCACGCTGGTGCTGAAACCGTGCTCCGTAACTCCGTAGCTCATCTGGTCTTTTTGTGAGTGAAAATCTGTTTAAAAAATATTTGATTTAAAACAAGTGATATGCTAATTTTGCTAATTGTCTCCATTTAGCTTACTTCCTCCCTATTACCACTGCCTTTCTAAAGTTGCCTAATGAATTCTGCCCTCCCTTGCCGCAAACTTTGTTGTGTGTTAATGGCAAGGAGAGTACAATGCAAGTGCACTGACTCTGTGTTACTTTTTGTGTGGCTCAGTCCAGCCTCACTGCACCGCTAAACTCTCACTATAGAGTGATGTGATCCACAGTCATAGGCGCTGTTGGATACACAGTTTCATGTTCCTCAACATCAGTGGTGGATCATTGCATCAGCAACCTACATTAGGCTACAGTGTGAGCATTAAATGTGATCAAAGTATGATGCAGTGTATCAAGTGTCAGATAAACTCCTCTGCTCCACTGTAATCCAGTTTCAGTTCTCAACATGTTAAATAGTATGTAATAGAAACACTTGTTTGTCCTTTGGCATGTAGATTTCTTGTGTTAATCTGAATGCAACATTATCATCAAGTTACAGGCTGTTTAACTTTTATTCAGAGTATTTCACTAGCTTTAACAAATTGGGGTTGCTCTTTTTTGCTTTTTTAGATAGTGCCTGAAATGAACTCTGATTATCAGTTTTCAACTTCACAGCTCCACATAGAAATATATACACAGAAAGAGAAATAGACAGCAGACTTTTTATCTGTTCAGTATGAATGTGTTCATTGTCAGCAATACGCTGTGTTGTGCACTTATCTTATCTAAACATGGCCTCAGTAAACCCACAGACTGTCATACTAATAAAAACAGCCTCATGATGTACAGCATAGTTTTCTCTCTCAGGTTGGATAGCCTAGTTTCTGCATTTAACATTGTTAATGTTAATGCAGGAAGTTGTTGTATTCACCTTGCTACATCTGTATACAGAGTGTGCAGTGCTGTTTCTGAGTTGTTAATAATAACATTGATGAGGAATGACAAGTTTATTAACTCTCAAATGTGAGACTGAGGTTATGTAAAACACAGTTGATGGTTTGTGATATTTTGTCAGTGATGTAACACTTGAACTATTAGGCCAGTGATCCATCAGCAGCTTGACTCCTATGTTCCACAGCAAGAGAGAACATCACTATGACAGGCAAAAATCACACAACAGCGGCGTGCTGCTTTTATGAAGTCTAAACAATGGTACCCCTTACATCCCCCATCCCTCCACACACACACACACACACACACACACACACACACACACACACACACCTCCCCCTCCCAAATTATTCAGCCCTTGCAATCTGATGCTGCTCAAAACAGTTACCAGGTTTCTCAGTGTTTCATCAGCTCTTTGTCATGTGGCCAAGTTGTCATATGTGCCCAATTTCATCATGTCTTCATCAGCCTTGAGAAATTTTAACTACATTGCTTTGAATTGGTGTAAGAGACGAAGCGCGATTTTATTCCTGCTCACATTCCCCAGGTCAAGTGAAATTTTCCATCTGTAACAGTAATTGGCCACAATGCAAAAGGAGGCAGAGAGCGAGAGGGAGGGAGAGTGGTGAGAAGGTGCTTATCCAGTATCTCTACCAGTTATTTTGGAGAGAGAGAGTCGGGGGGGGGGGGGGGGTACAAAGCATGCATTTCATGCTAATTACAAAGCCTTTCCATGGTGAACAAATAGATTCTTTTGCATGCATCTTTCAAATAAGCCTCCAGTTTATTTGAATCAACTTGCTGAAAGGTAGCACAATACGGAGTGGTTAGTCATCCAAAAGATGTGGCATGCTTACAAGTCACACAGAACTAAAGCATTACTTCTTACATCTATTTATAAGCTGTCACAGCACCTTTTTTGCAAACAACTTTCACTAGATTCACAGTTTTGATTTGAAAACAGGCAATACCCTCTCAAAAGGCTGGCACAGGAAATGTTCAATTTTAATGACAACAGAGACAAGAAGGGCCCAGAGGCACTTTGAAACATCAGAGATTCTTTTAAATTTACAGAAAAATCCAAACGAGTGGCACAAACTTAATTAGGTGCTGCAGTCATGACTAATGAAGCTGCCTGTTTTTTGGCTCTGAGATGAAGGAGAAACAGCAGTCCTGAAGAGGAACATGCCACAACTTCACACAGCTGAATAATGCTCATAAAATATATTTAGCAAGAAAAATCACTTGCTGTAATCTGGTAGAATTAAACTCTGTTCACTCTTAAAACTCTCTTAAAGAAAATGTAAAAGGTTTATTTCTGTGATTTTGAGTGTTCAGGTGGGTGACAGTGCTGTCACAGCAGGGTCCATTTCTCTTAAACCTCCCTGACTTAAGGTTGAGCATAGATCAGTTCTGCTCAAGGGCATACCCATCAAGTCCCCTACTTGTACTTTCAGCTTGCATTGTTTTCTGATTGTCTGCTAAAGTTTGGAAAATTATAGTATAAAATACTTTTAATAAAAGTTAAACAGCCTGTATATACTTGTGTATGTCTGTATACATATAATATAGTTCTCATTTGTCCAGTTTATCATTTTGGTGATGCCAGTGATGATGTGAGACAGTTAAACTTGCGTGGTTTTTCTGGGCCAGCTCTTCAGTCAGGCACAGCATTAACCAAAGACAAGGAGCTGTTTGGTTTTTTATTTTTTTTTATTTGTAAAAGCCAAACGTGACTGACTTTAATGGTCTCATGAAAGGGACCCTGTGTTATGCCCATATTTATGGCCATCTGGTCTTTTTTTTCTTAAGGTTTAATAATGTTTCAGATACAGTATCCATTTAGTGTGGGCTTTCATTACCTCCAGGCAAAAAGAGACTGAAATTACCAACAGATGTTAATACAAACTCTTCACCTACACTGGTGCGAACACTTGAGGTTTATTTGCAAAACTAATACCAGCACCACAGAGACATCATAATTCTTTGTAGTTGAGAACTGGCCATACATCAGAGTTTTTTTTAATGACACCGTTGCAGAGACACATTGTAGATGGAAAGTTACAAACTTGTGTGACCTGTATCATTGTTGATGTTGAGCACTGTAAGAGGAAGTATAGATTTTGTGCAAGTTATCATTATTTTTTAAACAGCCTCTTTTGACTTGAAGCTCAAATCCTGGTTTTAAAACTATATATCTACTATATATTATTAATAGTTTTTATAGGTAGTCACAAATGCAACAGAAAAAACAGAAAGAAAAAACGGTGATCTTATTTTCATCAGCATGTTAGCTGAGCAAGGTAACCAACTTTGCCATGTTGTGGAAAACTACTCATGTCATGTTCAGCATGAAATTAGATTGCGATTTTAATTTCTATTGACTGAATTCTAAATTAAAGCAACATTTAATAGTTTGGTTGGTTGCTTTGTAAACGGATACTCCTGTTGCTCCTCTGTATTTCTGACAAAGTAGCTGCTCAGGTTGCGTTTGGTCTTTTATTAAACCACACTTTCTGATTTCACCAGTAACCGCAGGTGTCATCAGATCAACCAGGACTAAAAGCTTAAGCAATGCAAGTTTATAATAAGACAAATTCTCTATTACAGCACATAGACAACTTTGTCCTTTATAATCTGAACTTAGATAAAGCACTCCTGAGAATTTATTCACCATCTACTTTGTATTTTATTGTCCATTCACCCATGATATGAAAGACTAACTGTGCTGTGAAAACAATGATTAGGAAGTTGTTCAGACAGTAAGACTTGACATGATGATGTAGGGGTGCAGCTGCAATTATCAGAGGATTTTATGGAGCCTGTAAAATGTGCTGTAGGTGGAACAGAAACCTGCTCATGGTTCATGTTGCTCGCACTGACCCATGCGTACATAAGGAAACCAAAAACAACAAAGATTTAAGGAACTGGGGGAAGGATCTTAGTGAATTATTGTACTGTCACAGCAGCACACCCTTTATTGTGTCCAAACCAAGCTTCTTTTGTGTCTGCTGTCCCCCCTGCTTCCTTGGGAGGGAAGGGGTTAACACTCAGCTCAACCGGGGGGCCTTGTGCATCTCTCCAGTGTACACAGCTGGTGCCATTTCATCACACACATTCTAAACATATCCAAACACAACTTTAAATGTGTGTGTGTGTGTGTGTGTGTGTGTGTGTGTGTGTGTGTGTGTGTGTGTGTGTGTGTGTGTGTGTGTGTGTTGTGTGTGTGTGTGTGTTTAACCCCAGAGGCTGTCTGCTTTGTCAAACTCAATGGTTGATGGATATGACTCCAAGGTGCATGTTAAATGTTTAAGTGTCCAAAAAGTGAATAGCTGATGTGTTTTGCTGAGTCTTTTAGTTGTAGCCTGTCAGGAGACGTCGTTTAACAGATTTATTAAACACCTAATTTTCCCACTGAGATTAGAGAGTGTTATTTTTAGTCCGTCCACTCCAAGGCACATACTGTACTTGGAGTTCCTACATCTAAGAATGACTGCTCTGTCCAACAGACCACACTAAACGTATGTCTGTACAGAGCAGATGTTTCTCAATGCACAGGTCTCCACTTCCAGCACTGGGTCTTAACATGGATTTCCTCTCAACAAAGTTGCTGTGATCCTACAAGGACACATCAGTGATAGAGACATATTTGTGGAAACTGTATAATTGTGTTTGAAAACTGGCTTTTAAGGGGTTTACAGGGGTTGTTTCTGAAGACGTTGTGTGGTTGTTTTAAACCATGAGCCTGATAGTCTCTGATTCCTGTGGCACCACATTATCACAGCTGTCAGTCTCTTTACTTTGTTGATCATGTTAAGATGTTGACATTGTAGACATATGACACGTATGCACATGCACAAGCAGCAGCTAAGTCTCTCAGAATTAGCTTCTCACTTTCAAGCTGTTTTTCCAGAATAATCTGAACCAACATTGTGAACCTGTGGGAAACGTAAGACCAGGTTATC